ACGCACGACGGGAGCAGGGGGGCAGCCGTGCTCGCCTGGGGGTGCAGCCCCTGTCAGAAGCAGCCGGGTGAGGAACAAACCCTCCTCGAGCAGGGATCTGCTCCTGGAAAGGCTGAGGCAAGCTTGGAGCGCTGGAAACACGAATCGCGTGGGAGACGGAGCCAAAAACCCCTCGTCTGAAGGACGCAGCGCCGGCTGGGGGTGCGAGGGAGGGAGGCGAACGGTGAAGAACCAGATGCCGAGACCGCGCTGTCGCACGCCACGGGTGGAGGAGAAGTTCCAGGCGTGGGCTCGGGACAAAGGGCACCAGAGCAGAACGCACGCCGAGCGCCGTGTCCCAAGCGCTTCACACGTTTGTTGCATAAAATCGTCAGATTTAAAATGTTAGAGCTGTGTGCGTGTGTTTTGGGATCTGTGAGCACAGAAACCTCACCAGGTGATTGCGGTTTAGAAACTAGAGAAACTTGAAACCTGTTATGCACCAGTGATGCTGTTTGAAAACCCCTTACGCCTCTTATTCTGGTTTGAATATCAAGAATTCTAATTAGTAGATGTTAGTAAGCATGACTAGTGATAATTTTAGGTAGATCAGCCTCAAATAGAATAAATGATCAAATATAAAATAAAATCTGTATTGCTTATGCTGCTAGCACGCCTCTGTAAAATTCCAGGCCTAAGGTATTCAGTAACCAACGATCTGTCAGTGGGTAGAAACAAGGACAGTCTGTTGCAGTCCAAGATGTCTGCAAGACAGGATTTATGATGGTACCCGCTGTGTATCATCTTTGAATCAGGACCAAAGCAGGTAAGAGCCAAAAGCCTGCGAGCCAAGGACATGCTCCCTGACCAAACATGGTCGATTCGAGGAGTGGTCGGGACCTCTGACTCACAGACCACCTACCCAAATTACACCCCCTACTCAAAAGAGAACAGTAGAAGACTACGACAGAGGCTGCGCGCTAACTTGCATCAGAAGCGAGGAAAGAAGAACCAATCATCGAGAGGATGAAATTAAATATGCATAGTATAAACTAGATATGTATGAATTTAATGTATAAATATCTGTTGATTGCAATGTGCCGGTGGACATCTTGGGGAAGGATCCCATGTCCCTGCTGCGTGTTGTTAATACGGGACGTCTCTGCTGATCTCACTGTGTGTAGAGGAGTTTTTCTTACCCACTGCAGATTTGCAACATGTTCACGGCTTCGGTAGCGACTGGCTCTGCCCCCACCGACCACACTGATGTGCCCGTGGCCCCAGGGCCCCGCACCGGGAAGCCAGCGGGAGCCCTGACCCTCCCGGACCCCCCTCTCGCACCTGGTGGGTGCTTCGCAGGGTGCTCTCCCTCGCTCCGAATTATCGGCTATGAATTGCTCTCGGAGGCACCTGGCGCTTTGATGCTCCCCCCAGATCTACATAAGCACGCAGATACCGATGCAAAGCTGCAGCGGGCACGGACACGGACAAAATACTTAACACTTGCAGCACTTGCTACCCTCCGGCTCGGGGTGGGAGGGAACAGGCTGTAGAAGCAGGACTTGCCGGGCTGGCACTCGCTCCAAAAAAGCCAGGAACCGCTTTTGCACCCACGTAAAAACCCGACACCACGAGGCTCCCGCTCACGTCCGAAACCCCCAGCAAAAAAAAAAAACAACCCCAAACCCCAGCAAGGCTGAAATCAGCTTGTTTCTCCCCAGAAAGCTGCCTGGACCTGCAGCCCTTCGCTCAGGATGGCACCGCCGCGGGGGCACCGGGACGGCTCTGCTGCCGCCGGGGTCAGCCAGGGTCACCGGCCCCGTGTCCCCCATCGAAACCTCACCCCCGGGTGACGCAGCGGGACGCTGCCCGGGGCAGGCAGCGGGGGCCAGATCTCGCGGCTGGCTTGGCAACCACCGCCCCTGGCCCCCGCCCGCCGG